AGTATCCCAGGTTTATGGGAGATGCACAAGACACTTATGACCTTAATGTTACAAAAACAGTCCCAGTCTGAAGAGTCAGGCAGCCCTGTAGAAGACCGCCAGGTGCTTCTTGCCAGTTAGGGGGGAATGTCTTCTGCTTTAGGGTGCTAAGTCACCAGAATTCAGCATCACAAGGTGTCTTCCTTTCATAAAACATTTTATTTATTTTTACCTGAAAGGCAGATTTACAGAAAGATAAGGATAGACAAAGAGAAATCTTCTATCCCCTAGTACATTCTCCCAAATGGCCACAATGGCCAGAGCTGGGCTGGTCCAAAGCCAGTAGCTTAGAGTTTCCTCTTGATTTCTCACATGGATTCAGGGATCGAAGGACCTGTGCTGTGTTCCTCTGGTCTCCCAGGCACATTAGCAGGGAGCTGGAGCAGAAGTGGAGCCAATGTGTATCAACACTGATGATTGTCAGCACTACAGCCAGAGGCTTAAGCCATTATGCCACAGTGTCAGCCCTACAAGGTATTTTTTTTAATGTATTCATTTGAACCCATTGTTGTGTCACAGTGGGAAAAGCTACTGCCTGCAGATACTGCCATCCGTATGAGCACCAGTTCAATTTTTGACTGCCCCACTTCCAATGCAGCTCTCTGCTAATGTTCCTGGGAAAGCAGCAGAGGATGATCCAGGTGACTGGACCCCTGCAGCTGATATTAGAGATCCAGATGGAGTTTCAGGGTCCTGGCTTCAGCCTGGCTCAGCTCCAGTCATTGTGGCTACTTGAAAAGTCAGTCAGCAAATGGAAGGCGTGTGTGTGTGTGTGTGTGTGTGTGTGTGTGTGTGTGTGTGTGTGTGTATCTGTGTCTCCTTCTCTCGCTCTGAATGGCTATGCATTTCAAGTAAATACAACTTTTAAAATAAATTCATTTATTATTTACTGAGAGAGGAATCTCCCATCCACTAGTTCACTTGATAAATTCCTAAAACAGCTGGGGCTTGGTCAGACCAAAGCTGTGAGCCATGAACTCAGTCCAATCTCAAACAGGGTAACAGGGACTCAACTACTTGAGCCATCACTTGCCTCCCAGCACACACTTGAGCAGAGAGCTCAGTTTGGGAAGGGATCCCAGAGTCAGACCAGGCACTCAGAAATGGGATGAGGCTATCCCAGGCAGCCCCATAGCTGCTGGGCCAAGTGGTTGTCTCACACAGAGTGCTTGTCGGTCGTCATATCCATCCTCCCTGTTCAGTCCTACGGTCCTGCTCCCACAGTACAGGAAGCTGACCCAGGACAATGCTGACGAAGAACAGAAACAGAGATGAGTTGAGAATGTATGTTTGAAAATTCCCTTTGGCTTTTCAAATGGAGCATTTCAGTGTTCAGCAAGTCCATGCTTCCTGAGAGTATTTATGATGGTGTCAGACTTTTTCTCATTGGTGGTCTACACACAGGGAGGCAGGGGTAAACACATTTTCCATCACAAAAGCTCTGCCAAGTCTACCTCCAAATCTCATTGGAACAGACATATATTAAGTATCTTTAAGTGTAGTGCATTCTTTGGCACAAAAAAAAATTTACTTTTAGGTTTTTATTTTCAAGAGATCAGGAGACAAGAATATGCCCAAGAATAGCTACTCAAATATCAGGCCTGGGTTTAAGGGCTTGGACATTGGGGTTGCGTGGCCAAGATGCCAATATTAATCTCTTACTTGTGTCACCTTCTGCATGTCATTCATCACCTCTATGCCTTATCTATCAAAAGAAGCGGTAATCGTCCCTATCTCAAAATCAATTTATTTTGAAAAATAGGTGAGTTAATACTAAATATGCTTAAGATGATTTTTGTCATATGATGTTTGTTTCGAATAATGAGAAATTAGAATAGGTTCCACACTAGTTTCATAAAACAAGATGTGGTATATTATGAAGATATTTATATATTAGGAAAAATAATATACTTCAAAATAGTATATTGTATATATATATTATATATTAAGCATGGATAGTTTTACATAAAAGCAATTAATGGTAGTTATGTTTTGGTGAATTTTTTCTTCTTGATCATTGCTATTTACAAAAATCTTTTATGATGAAACTTGTACTGTAATAAAAGTTGTCTGTAGAATAATAGTATATTATATATATATTATATTATAGCCAATGTTTATTGTGAGATCATGATAGGTCAGATTTTTTAAAGCAGTTTGTATGTATACATATGTCTGTGTATGTATATAATATGGAACTATACATATTAATTATTCATAATATCCCTGTGAAACAGATTCTACGATTGTTGTTTCTACTTATCAGATTAAAAATTTAAGCACAGAGAGGTGAAATAGCCCTAAATCCTCCAGCTGGTAAAAACTGGAGGTAAGACTAGAATATATGCCATCTGAATCAAAATCAGTGGTTTTGGTATGATTTTAGCAACTGCCAAGAGATACAATGAAATATGGCACCCACATAAACACCCTATCTGCATCCGTACACCTTTGGAGGATGTAAATACAAACACCTCTCCTTCCTGTGTCTTTGTCACCAATTAATAGATGGACAGGAGGCTTTCAGGTCTCCAGTCTTTCTCTTACTTATTTTGCTTGGATTCAGTGAGAAGAGCATTTTCAGATGATTTCTTAAAGCTAGCCTGCCCATGGATCCTTTAAAGAGAGCATTAACCAAACTTGAAATAGTCTATGTTTTTAAATCATGAACTGAAATGACTGTGAAGTAATGTGTACATTTTTCGCCAGCCTGTTCTCCAAACAGCCCTAAGTATAGCTTCGGGGGTCCCTATATATGTATTCTAACCTCTTTCAGATGTGCTGGAGATAAGACAGAAAATTATCAGGACAATGGGACCTCGGGGCTGCAGTATTCAATATATTGAGTTCTGGTAGCAATAATCTATAGGATGAAGTTGCCGCTTTAACTCAGAAAATGTAATTATGATTGATCAAAGGCATCAGGAAGTAATTGTTCCTTTTCTAGAAGTTCTGCTTTTTGCAGGCAGGGAAGTTATAATTGATGGGGCTTGTGTGTCTTTTATGTAATGAAAGTTGGGTGTGTCAGAATAATCATTTCATATTAGAAAGTAATAACTAAAATCTGGTGGCTGCAGCCACAGGATCTACTTTGAAAATTGCCTACCTTTATCATTTAATAGGCAACCTGAGAATTTACTAGCTGACAAGATAATTTGCTAGGCTATTAGGGAAAGCATGTTGCTGTATTGCACTGCCAATTGTGAATCCTTGAGATTGGAAAATACTACAATTTCGCCAGTGCATTGCTCAGAGGCAGCTAATTAAGTTTGGGGAGCGTCTGGGAGCTCAGTACCTCATTAGAAAAAGTCTCTGCAATCCAGAAGGAAGATCTGGTCTCAGGACTGATAAATGGCCCACCCCTCTAATCTTCTAGGATCCTTCTGAGAGTTGGGACTGACTGCTGCCATTTAACAAAAGAGGCCAGTCTTGATCTATTTCTCAGGGGAAGCTGGATTTCCCAAGAGGTCCTGGAATCCCAGAAAGTCATGTTTTTTTTTTCCTGTCTTGCATTGCCCACTATCCCCTTTAGTAAAACTAATTAAGAACCATCAGAGGGAGGGATCCGTTTACCAATGGGCCCGTGTCTGGCCACAGCTTGCACTGATGGTTCCTGATGGCCTGTTAGGCAGATGGTAATAGATGGCTTGCTCAGGACTCCCGTCTGCTCCCCTGCCTCCTCCTACTGCTTTCCTGAGGGTGAACCATGAAAGCATCCATGAAGAAGAAGGACTTGGCTGGTGCACAGGGGTCGTTGCCTCCCCGACGAGCCTGGGGCAGATCAGCCTCTCTATCCCCAATAGTAGAAGAGGATTAAAGTCGGCTTCACAATGTTATCACAATGAAATGACATACAAATAGAAAGCCTCGCAGAAAAGCAATGAATAGTTAGAAAGATAGGGATTCTTTTCTGCTCGTTAGAAACTCAAATCCCATGTTGTTCATATTTCCCCCTCAGCTCAGAAATGTGAGCTGACTTTGGTTACTAGGCCAGAAGAGGCACAAAGCATGCCCAAGAGTTGAACACCAAGAATCGTCCACTTCAATTTATTTAAGATCATATGGAATTTCATCTTTGTTCTCTGCTGCTTCTTCCACCTTCCTCTCACATCCCTGGCATTGGGAATATCTGCATTGTGTACTTTTGGAACTGTGTGGCTTCATTAGAATGAATTTACATCACTGTGTCGTACTGTGGATTTCTCCTATAATTGCACACCCAGCACTAGTCTGTACTCAAAATGCAGTGGGATTTTTGTAAACTACTGAATAACTCTACCCCAAAATGAAAATCCCAAGTTTCAGTAACAATATACAAGATTCCATTACCATCATTCTCTTTGGAAATATAAGTTTCTTGCTTTTGGTTAAGATTCAATTCTTTATAGAAAAGCTGAAGCTGCAGTAAGAATAAATCAAAACTGTAAGCAGATAGTGCTGGTCCAAGCGATTTCTGAGCACAGCCTGGCTTCCTGGCTGCTCCCAATTGGTGGACTGTTCCTGGGCCTCACATGCCAAGTTCAGCCATGGCTAAGTGACTGCAAAGGCCCAAAGAGAAACTCTCTTGGAAAAGCTGCCTCGGAGCTAAAACCTTCTCTTTTCCTCTTGCATATAGATTGGGTTGCATGCTGTTGAGTGAGAGCCTGACCTACCAGGGGAGGCGGGTGCGTGTTCTTATCCTGCTCGGATCACTGGGGACAATCTGCTGCAGAACAGAATCATTGTGAAACCAGCCTGCCCAGGCTTCTAGACTGTGCTCCTGGAGTGATGCCCTGTGCTCGTGCCTCGCTTTGCTTGTGTGCTGTGAGACAAACACTGGGCGCTTGGCAGCTCTGGAATCTTGGCGCTTGCTGAGTGAGAGGGCGCAAACACAGAGTGCCAGGCACCTCCAGGCAGGGGCCAGCCAGCGTGTTCTCGGGTTTCCTTTGCTTCATGCCTTTGTCTTCCTTGTTGTTTTTCAGGTAGTGAAGCTGATTTTAGCTCCTCGAGCAGCACAGGCAGCATTTCCGCTCCTGAAGTTCACATGTCGACTGCGGGAAGCAAGCGGGCCTCCCTTCCACGCAAGTAGGCCACTGTCCCTTGCACTTTGCATACATGACTTAATCTGGGCTTTATGCTTTGACAGAAGCACCTGGGTTGCTATTATATTTTGCTATTCTTCATTAAGTTGTGGTTTGTTTTGTTTACAGTAGATTGAACTTGGCTCTTTTTCCTACCTAACCTGCTAGGCCACATGGCTGTACTTGGCTTTGTTCTCATACACCTGCCTCTCATCCAGTCCTTCACTCTATCTCTCATCCTTCATTGGTTTCTCTCATTTCGTGGCTCACCTGTGTCCTCACCAGTTATTAAGGCACTGAGGCTCCTGTTTCCCACCGTGCCCACCGTTCATGATTCTTGTGTCTACAGGGGCTCCTATTTTTAATCTTTCTAGAGGGAGCATGGCTGATCCCTGACTGCTCCCAACAATGACTTAAGGAAGGAGTGAACAGAATGTGAAGTTCATAGGTATGGAAGGCAAGCATTGCAAGAGACAATTGAGCTAAATAGCTGAGCCTGTGGGCCTTGGAATTTGGTGACCTTGGTTTGAATGGCAGCACTATCACCTACAGGCTGCTTGGCCCTGAGCAAGTTGCTTAACTTCCCTTTGCCTCAATTTCCTCCTCTGTAAAAGAAAGCTATAGTGATGCCCACCTTGTAAGCTTTATTGCTGAGAGTCCTTGAGGTCATATAGGTAAGTGACGGAGTATACTAAGCATTAATAAATGTCTGTCATTGGTGCTATTTCAATTTTGAAAGAGCACTGTAGGAAGATTGAAGCCATTATTCACATTTCCTGGGAGGGGTTGTAAGCACCATCATTCTATGCCCACCATTTGTGGTTGTATTTACTCATTCAGCTAGCGCTCATTGAGCAGCCACTAGGAGGCAGGGTCTGCAGACAGAGCAGTCAACAAAACTCAAAAAAACTCATTTTTTGTGGGGCAAGAAAGAAAACAGATATGTACTATAATTTTTTAAAGATAACACACAGGAAGAGGATCGAGTGTCATGGGCATGTGGTGTGTTACAGACGGGCTGGTAGCAGGAGGCCTCAGTGCTGAGATCAACTCCGAGCACGTGGGCTTGACTTGTTTCCTGCATTTTTCGGGTCACCTGATTATTCTGGACCAAGCATCATAATTCACGAAAAGGGAGTTGGACCACATAATTTTCAAAATCCCTTCTCATAGCGGAAAAAAAAAAGATACCTAGTTTCTACAAACTTACATTTCCAGGACTCGATAGGCAAATATTTCCTGTTTCTCTAGGGTGAGCAAAAGTGTTACCTGATGTTTACCAAGAGACCGAACAACTTCCTCCCAAAACCTAATGCACAGGTATAGTTAAAAATAAAACTGAAGCCAGAGAAACCTATAACAAAAGAGTGAAGTCCACAGGAAGTCCACTTTTTGGAAATAAAATGCATCCGGGACCACAGGGAATGAATATGAGCAGTCTCTGGATAAATCGGGTGGGAGGTGCTGTAAGAGTAAGCCATTATAAAAGAATAGAGGCAATAATAAATTAATTATTTAAAGAATGTAGAAGAGACATTACAAAAGGAATTTATGTTTTGGTGGAATTCCAATTTCCTATCACTAATGGAGTCAGAAAATATTCTCATTTGGAATTCATGATTCTTAAAGTGAATAGCTGATGTATTAAATAGCAAAATAGATAAATACAATTATATTCAACCAGATAAACACTTATGATAGGTTCAACTGTAAGTGAACAATATTAAACTTTAAAAGGGGGAATGGCATTTTGACTCAGCAGTTTAAGCCACGACCTGTAATAGTTCAAGTCCCTGCTGCTTGCTATCCAACTGTGTCAATGCCATCTGGAAAATCGATGGAAGACGACCCTAGCGGTGGGAACCCAGCAGCCACACGGGAGTTCCTGACCCCTGACTCCAGCCTTGCCTTGCTCTACCTGCAGTGGCCATTTGGGGAATGAGCCAGCAGATTGCAAATCTCTGCCAACCTCTGTAAGTCTGCCATTCAAATAACTAAAATCTTTTGAAAAAAAATTTTGAAATAGCCTCCAAATGCTTACCAGAAATTATTGTGGGTGGGATATTAATATTGGCAGTGTTCTAGCCATTATCCTAATTTTTTACACAAACATCTGACTTAGATGCTGAGTGACAGCCCTAGATTCAGTGATGGCACACCTCAGACATTTCACCTGATCTTAGTGCTTTACTGAATCAAGTGTTGGAGACAGCACCTCTCCAGGGCTAGGTGGGTATCAATGATCAGTCTGTGTGTCTCTAAATCAGCAGGTCCCTCTCGCCCTGGCCCTATTATAAATGATTTTCTCCATAAAGAATTGCTTTCTGAGAGGAAGAAGGCAGTTGGGAACATTTGATAAAAAAAAAAAATGTAGGAGACTTGAGGGACATGTGGAGTTGGTGAAAATAAATTTTTTTACAGATTGATTTTATTTATTTGAAAGGTAGCGTTATAAAGAGAAGGGCAGACTGAGATTTTCCATCTGCCAGTTCATCCCCAGATTGGCTGCAGTAGGCAGGGCAGCGCTAGGTCAAAGCTAGGAGTCAAAAATTCCATCCATGTCACGTGGATCCTGGGGCCCAAAAACTTAGGCCATGTTTTGCTGCTTTCCCTGACACTATAGCATCCTGCAGGTGGATTAGACACGGAATAGTCAGGACTTGAGTCAGCACCCATATTCCAGTTTTGTAGGCTGTAGTTTAACGTGCAATGCCACAGTGCTTTCCCAAGAACATTTTTGACAGGTGATTTTAAATCCTTAACTTAAAAGAAAAAAGTGTATTTATTTTTATTGGAAAGGCAGACTTACAGAGAGGAGAAACAAAGATCTTTCATCTGCTGGCTCACTCACCAAATGGCCACATTGTGCAGCTCTGAGCTTGATCCGAAGCCAGGAGCCAGAAGCTTCTTCCAGATCTCTTACCTGGATGCAGGGTCCCGAGGGTTTGGGCCATCTGCCACTGCTTCACCAAGCCACAAGCTGGGAACAAGATGAAAAATGGAGCAGCCAGGACATGAAACAGTGTCCATATGGGATGCTGGCACTTGTGGGCAGAGGACTAACCAATTGAGCTATTGTACCAGCACCAAACCCCAAATTTTAAGGCTTACAAAAAATCTCATTCTATAGGCCAACCTTGCTGATATTTCTAAGGAATTCTCTTTCTTAAACATGCTAATCTACTGAGGAACAGATATAAATGATGGAGTAGACTCTAGCCTCCATTTTTCTGTTCTGAGAAATGGGATAATTATGCCATCTAGCCCACTGGTAGATAGAATGACACCCAGAACTTAGTATAGGAGTCAATAAAGGGTTTGCAGTAGTTTCAAAGTAATACTAGTAGACATGCTATCCCTCTGCTGCTGCTGGTGGTGGTGATGCTGAATATACTAGGCTGTAGGGCTGCAAAACAGAGGACCAAGTGCTTGATGGGCTAAACAACATACATAGATTTTACTCAAAATTCTCTGCAGCATAAGTCCAAACTCAGGTGTTCACAGGGTTGGTTTCTTTGGAAGCTTCTATCCTTGGCTAGTAGGTAGATGTCCTTTCCTATATTTTTACACTGCCTTTCCTCTATATATACCTGTGTCCAAATTTCCTCTTAGTTAAATGTTTCTGGGTTTTTTTGAATGCCAGGGACAAACAGATATTTCCATCTGCTGTTGCATTTTGCATATGCCCACAATAGCAGGAGCTGGGCCAGGTGAAGACCAGGAACCCAGAGCTCTATTCAGTTCTCCAAGTAAATGGCAGAGACCCAGCTATTTAAGCTATCACTGCAGCTGCTCAACACGCACACTGTCAGGAAGCGGAGATGAGAAGCAGAGCTGGATGCCAAAGCCAGGCACCCTGATACAGGATGCAGGTGTCCCACACAGCTTCTCAAAGGCAGTGACAGGGATGGAGAAGGAAAAGAAGGAGGGGGAATATTCTATCCACAGATTTCACTTTCCAAATGGCTACAACAATGGCAAGGTCTGGGCCTGGGAGAAACCAGGAGCCAGGAACTGCTTCCCAGACTCTCCTACATAGGAGGCAGAGACGGAACATCTTCGGTCACCTGTCCAGGTCCAAGTAGCTGGATCGGAAGGGAGGCAGTCTTAACTTGAACCAGTGCTCTGATACGTGATGACAGAGTCACAAGTGGTTGCTTAATGCGCAGCACCACCACACTGACTGCAGAGTGATGGCCTAACAGCTACACCAAATGCCTACCCCTCAAATTCCTTCTTCCAAGGGCACTAGTCAAACTGGGTTCAAGTCCAGCCTGACTGCCTCCGGGTAATATAATCACATCTTATATACATCCTACAGTAGGGGCACCAGGACTTCAACGTATGACTTTGTGAGGAACACCATTCAGCCCCTCACAGTGACCCTGGTGGCGGTGTTGATGCTGAATATAACCTGAAACACAGCTAGAGATGAAAATCTGACTGGGCTGCCTGTGGGGTTTTCTTCTTGGCTTTCCTTTTCTCTTACTTTCCAGGTACCCTACTCGGATGTGTAGAAAGGGTGCAGAACCGGCAGAACTTCCCCTCCTCTTTGTGGACTGTGCTCCTCTCTTCCACCAAACCTGGGGTGTTAGGATAAGCTGAGCTAAGTAGCGTTGGGCTTACCTGTTCATTCTACAGTGGGAATCAGTTTCTCCATTGAGAAGATTTTTTTGTCATCATCTATGTTGAGTTTATGCTTGTATATATATATGTGTGTGTGTACTTGTATACATAAACACACATATATACATACATGTATTAGCATTTAAACTAAATGAAAAGAATCACTTTTAAGCATGTGGTTTCTTTATCAAAAATAAACTGTTCAAACAATCTAATAATTCATTTTCCGAAATATATCTGAAGACTTGATTTACTCCAATAATGCTTTATAGTTTAGAGTGTCTACTTATTCATTATAGCAGAGGGAACCCTGTCAAAATCTTTGTCTAATTTAATATGTACATCTCTAATAACATACCAGGGCTTCAGCACACTGTGCATGTTAGTGGTAAATTTTTCAGGTAGCATCCACATACATTGTCAGGACTTAATATTCCTATAGCAAGCCCAATGCAATTGGTTCCATTTGTGTAAAGAAGGACGAGTTCTCTGTGTAGAGTTACAAGATCTGGTTCATGACATAGTAGGTTAAGCCTCCGCTTTTGACACCAGCAACCCAAATAGGCACTGGTTCAAGTCCTGGATGCTCCATTTCTGACCCAGCACTCTTCTTATGACCTGGTCAAGCAAGAGAATGGCCCAAGTCCTTGGGCTCCTCCATTCATGGCTTCAGACTGGCCCAGCTCCAACTGCTGCAGCCATTTGCAGTCGACCAATACATGGGATATCAATCTCTCTATCCCCTTCTCTCTCTGTAAATCTGCCTTTCAATTAAACATATAAATATTTTGTTTTAAAAGGGACCTAGCATTGAAGCCCAGTGCCACTTGGTGTTCTCGGGTTGGTTATCTCCTCTGAACCTCAGCTACTCCATGAGTATAAGGGAGATAATAATTGTGTCAACCCTACAGGGTGATAGTGCAGAAGTCAGACCATGTCCTTCAAGCAGCTGGATCAGCCTGAGCTTCACAGGAGCTCCTCAGCAAAGGTTAACTTGTAATACAGTTGCCCAGATCAAAATCAGGGATAACTCTTCCATTCTGGTTTTACCTGTCATGGTTACGATTCAGGCTCCACTTTCCTCCTAGCCATATTAAGAAACAGATGTGTTGGTTTTAGACTTAGAAATGAAGCATGGGGCCCAGTGCAGTAGCCTAGAGGCTAAAATTCTTGCCTTGAATGCTCCAGGATCCCATATGAACGCCGGTTCTAATCCCAGCAGCTCCACTTCCCATCCAGCTCCCTGCTTGTGGCCTGGGAAAGCAGTTGAGGATGGCCCAAATCCTTGGAACCCTGCACTCATTGGGAGAGCTAGAGGAAGTTCCTGACTCTTAGCTTCAGGTCAACACAGCACCAGCTGTTGCGCTCACTTGGGGAGTGAATCATTGGATGGAAGATCATCCTCTCTGTCTCTCCTCCTCTCTGTATATCTGACTTTGTAATAAAAATAAATAAATCTTTAAAAAAAAAAAGAAATGAAGCATGGGAAAGAAAAGCAAAGACAGAAGACATTTTCTTGTAACTGTTCCTGTGGCTCTCCCCACCCATGGCTGCTGAATTTGGTTTGTCACAAAGCCATCAGCCATCTGTTCTGTATAAAGTGTCCCCTGCTCATGAAAACGGAGAGAGAATCCCTTTGGGTGATTTTAAAAGGAAAAAAACTTTTAACTTTAGTTGGTGATGTTTTGTTTCTGTGTGACATGTTGGGATGATAGCCATCTGAAAGCATATTTCATGTTAAGTAAGGATGCTTTGGGAGCCAAGTATCCACACAGCATACTCAAATCCACATTTGTATGTAGTTCTTACTCAGATGTGTCAGTGGGACCCAGCTCTGCTTTAAGTTGTAACATGAAGTGTGTCTTGTTCCCTTTGATTTTCTTGTAATTCATCAGTTAGTATTCCTACCACGGGAATGTTTGCCACTCCAGTCATTCAAACATTCCCATGATGCTACCCTACAGTAGGAGGTGTCACATTTCTAGAACTCAGTGAAGAGGGAAATAGAAACAAATTTATTTTGTAATGATTGCTTACAGTTGAGTTGCACGTAGTCATTCATTGAACACAATCAAATGCATGTTAGGGTTTGATATTTATGTCAGCTCTGCGAGGACAGAAAAGGAATACCTGTGCAGCTGCTTATGTCCGCATCTCTCAGGGGTTTATTTGCTTACGTACTCCGGAAGTGGCAGTGCTGGTGTATTCTTTGAGCTGTCGCTTAGGGAGCACTCATTGTGTCCCAGGAAGCTGGGTGATATCAAGGAGCAGCCTGTGTTCCTGCCCTCGAGGATGCCCAGCTCAGAGGGGAGAGGCAAGCGAAGATGGAGTTGTGATGCCTTGCGATGAGCATTTGCATTGAGCTTTAGGGAACACCAACACTGAACTTAGGAAGGAAGAATTCAAAAAGGCTGTTTGGAGTCCTTTCCCATAAGCATCAAAATAGGAGGCATCCTGGCACTGAGCGGTTTAGGGAAAGGAGTCAGAGAACATTCTATACAGAGAAAATTACAAGTTCTAAGACATTGGGAGCTGGCACCATGGCACAGTGGATTAAGCTGCTACTTGTGCTGCGGGCTTCTCATATCAAAGTGGCAGTTTGAGGCCACACTGTTGTGCTTTGGATCCAGCACCCTGCTAATGTGCCTGGGAAAGCAGTGGATAATGTCCCGAGTGTTTAGGCCCCTGCCATCCATGTGAGAGACCCAGCTGGAGTTCCAAGCTCCTGGTTTTGGCCTGAACCAACCCCTGCCTTTGTGGCCATTTGAGAAATGAACCAGCAATGGAAGAAGCAACTAGTTCTCTCTCAACCTCCCTCATTTCTTCCCCCTTTCCCCTCTCTCTATTGCTGTTACTCTGCTTTTCAAATATAAACAAGCTTTTTAAAAGAGTGATAAATGCATGATCCTTCAGGAATCCAAAGGCCTTTCTACAGTGCTGGGCTGCAGGAGAGATGGGGGAGGCGGGACTTGGACATTTTAAGCCATCTGATCTTCACTGTGCAGGCCATAGAAAACTGTGGGGCAGCTGTTAGAAGAACAGTGACTTTCAAATTCTTTGTTAGGAAGGCCATGTCAGCCACAGGCCCACCTCCTGCTCTGAGGGTAAGCCAAGAGGCAGGGGAACCCAGGACAAGCTATTGCATTTCAGTCCTTAAGTGTTAAATCGTTAGAGATAAAAAGAAACAGAAAGCTAAATGGAGTGGTCAAGATTACAGACTTGATACATTTACCTGGGGGTCTGTTTATCTGTTCTATTCTTTTTTGTATTTGTATTGTTGTTTTATTTTTACTTATAGTATTATCTTTAAAAAATTTTTAATATTGTTATTTTCCATGATACCATTTTTAGGTATAGGAACCCCCCCCTTCCCTGCATTCCTCCCTCCTAATATTTCCCTCAGCTATCATTTTCCCCAATAGTATTACAACAGTATAGTCCTTCAGCAATGTTCACAAGTCCAACATTCTGCTTTTTCAAGTGTATCATGACATTGAAGATATTAGCAATGGTGGAAAAGCTAGTATCATACTGTCAAGATATATTTAACAGCTTCATTGGGAGTCCTCCTTTTATTCAGGATTAGGGATGCATACTGCAATGTGCCTTCATTTCCTGCTATGCTAGTCTCCATTATACAGTTCATCTATGAGAATATATGAACATATGCATTTACCTATATATATATGTGTTTTGCATTTTGCATGAATGTTGCTTTATATCAGAGACAACGTATGATGTGTCCTTTTGGAATTGGCTTATTTCTCTCCTTTCTTCCAAACAAACTGTCTTAATTTTCCTGCTCAAACAGGAACTAAATCCAGTTATATTTCTAACCTGAAACAGGTATACTGGAACAAAAACCACATCTTTGCGACACAGCCTCCAGATCAATATTTTACATGCTGTGTTTTCTTAACAGACAGGCCATTGGGTTTCATCCAAAACAAACGCTATGCTCCAAGGCTGGTTGAAAGAACAGTAACAATAGAGGTTGCCTGTGGTAATGATGGGAGCAAGGAAGCTACCAGGCAGGAGGGAGGATTTCTCTTGAGGCCAATGTGCACTCATCAGAATACTTCCCACAGGGAGCAAGACATCAGCCTGGACTGCTCTGGCCTTGAGGATTTTAACCTTTCGCTTGCTGTTCTCCCAGTCGAGGTCCCCATGGGCGGAGTAATGGAGTCCCATCACACAAGTCTGGCAGCAGCCCACCATCCCCACGGGAAAAGGACCTTCTGTCCATGCTGTGCAGGAACCAGCTGAGCCCCGTGACCACGCACCCCAGTTACACACCTTCTTCCCCAAGTAGCAGTAATTCAGGGTCCTACAAAGGAAGTGACTGCAGCCCCATCATGAGGTGAGTTTTGCTCATCTCCTTCTTTGTACTGTTTTATTTGTCCTGCTTGGTACATTTTTCTTAAAAAAAAAAATAAATAAAGTTATGCAACTCTTGCTCCCCTGCCTTGTTCTGCAATAAAACGCATCTCTTTCCTTTCCCATGCTCAGCAAGTCTTTCCAGGACTGTCGTGAAAAGAATCCAAACCACACTTGGTAGCCAGGCTCAGCCGTCCAAACAATGGCACGCTGGCCATGGGTGGGACAGTTGTTGATTCCATTTATTCCAACACTTGTTTATTGGCTTTCAGGTTCTGTGTGAAGCCTGGGGAATAGAGCAGTAAACAGGGCCCGCTCCCGTGCTTGCCACTCAGAAAAGCAAGCTGTTCACCATCTAACAACGGAAACAGATAAAGATTGTTCTACCAGTCTTTGGTGCTGAATGAGTGTGGACAAGATGAGGCATCTCTGGGGGCCAGGGTGGGGTACTTCCTGAGAAGTGAAGTGGAAGTGAGATCTGCAGGGCAAGCAAGGAGTTAATTCCTGTGAGGTGCAGGGGAAGGGTGCAACAGCATGTCTGAAGGGGTTGGGGCAGGAGGACCAGTGGGTTGAAAACTGGATCCAGGCCATTCTAGAGGGAGGGCAGGCCTGGGCGGAGGGGGCCAGGGCAGCGTTGTGGCTTGGATCAGGTCCAGAGTCAGGGAAGAAACTGGCAGCCATCCCCTTTGGGCGTCTTCCTTCTTGGCGTCCCCGCTCTCATTAGTCAGCGCTGTTACAGCAGGGATGCCCAGCTCCTGGCCAGACCTGAACGGGCCAAGATTCCAGCAAGGGCTGCTTTGTCAAACACTGAGCATCTCTTAGAAAAACACTCTGGTGAAAGTGGAGACGCCATGCTCCTTTCAGAAGAGCAAACTTTCCATTTCAATCAACACTCTCTCCCCAGGGACCTCTTTCAGAACAGTATGAGTTCAACTGAAAATTAGGATTAAGCAGTTAGATCTCCTTTGCTGGTTCCTTCTCTCCCACTTCCCCCCTACCCAGTGTCTGAATACACTGCATGCTACTCCCCCCTGACAGTTCTGGCCTGGCAAGGGGTGCTGCATTGTTTTGTAAAACAACTCTCTCTCTCTTTCTCTTCAAGATTTTTTTTTTTTTTTAATTTTGGGCCTGGCACAGTAGCCTTTGTGGCTAAAGTCCTCCCCTTGCTGTGCTACTTACTCTACTTCCCTTCCAGCCTGTGGCCTGAGAAAGCAGTCTATGACGGCCCAAAGCCTTGAGACCCTGCACCCCTACAGGATACCCAAAGGCTCCTGGCTTCAGATCTAAGCTCCAGCCATTGCTGCCACTTGGGGAGTGAATCAGCAGATGGAAGATCTTTTTCTCTGTCTCTCCTTCTCTCTGTAAATCTGCGTTTCCAATATAAATAAATTAAATATATATTTTTTAAAGATTTATTCATTTTTATGTTTACAGAAAGGAGAGACAGAGAGAAAGATCTCCCATCCTCTGGTTCACTCCCAACATGGCCCCAATGGCTGGATCGAAGATCCAAAACCAGGAGCCAGGAGCTGCTTCCAGGTCTCCCATGTGGGTGCAGGTCTCAATGGTTTGGGCCATCTGCCACTGCTTTATAAGGCCGCAAGCAGGGAGCTGGAAGGGAAGCAGAGCCACCAGGACATGAACCTGTGCTCAAATGGGATACTGGCACTTGCAGGTTGAGGATTAGCTCCTTGTCAATCATTTCCAAGCTACTAAAAATCTTCCTTTTCCTCTTTTACACACACACACACACACACACACACACACACAACTACCCCTCAAGTTTTCAGGTAATTAGCAATCCTAACAATGGCCTGTGTATACAGTCCTCTAAGCCAGGCCAGTCAATACCGAGGTTTGAAACACAACATGGAGCTTTCACTCTATCTGGCTATTAGCCGTGTATCCTGGTCAGTTTGGGCTATTCTGCCTTGATGATCTAACCACATTCCCAAGGCCCCATCTCCTGATACCATTACATGGGGATTAGAATTTGGACAGAGGAATTTGGAAGCAGACACACATATTTAGTCTGTGCCATTCTCTAGTGCTTTGCTTTTTATAGAAAAGGAGGTGACAGAAAGTAACATCTTGTGACCTTGGATTGTTTCAGGCGGTCTGGCAGGTACACGTCTTGTGGAGAAAATCATGGTGTCAAGCCTCCAAATCCGGAGCAGTACTTGACTCCTCTGCAGCAGAAGGAGGTCACAGTGAGGCACCTGAAGACCAAGCTGAAGGAGTCGGAGCGCCGGCTTCAGGAAAGGTGGGCTTGGGCTCCTTGCCTGCTGGCACTTCCTGTTTCTTTCTAAAACTAAACATGAATCAAACTGCAGAAAAATAGAGAAAATAAATGGTTTCATATAATTAAATTTCTTAAATCATTCTCTGCATAGAGCCACTCCTAATTCTTTTAAGGAGTTCAGAGAGCCTCGTAGGTTAGAGGACATATTGTGGTTCTTTTTTTTCCTGGGTGTGTACAGCTTTGACGTGAAGAATTGGGTGTGTGCATGGCTATTTTTAAATGACAGAAACACTTGCAGGAACAATCCCGTTTCCAGTAGAATGGGTCACACTCGGTGGCCCCGTTAATTCCTATTTAATCTCTGCCAAGGAGTGGATACCTGTGTGCATTGTGATTCCTGCAAGCTATTTCTGTGCTAAAGGAAGAGCTGCATTATTCTTGGCTAACCGTTAACATTGAAAAACAGTTCATGCCTCCTAAGAGATCTTATCTCAGCAAGGAAAGACCCCTGACATCCTGGGGCAGGCCAGTTTCTTGGCCTGAAGCTTTTTGCCTGGTACATTTGGGGAGACAGGCAGAGCTCTGACACGGGAGCTCTGCGCTCAGGCTGATGTGGCTGCTTGCGATGGCTGGGACTCTGCCGTCTGGTTCAGTGCCTGGCTGCTTCATGAGCCTGAGTCTCTTCCTTTGTAGCCACAGTATTTATCCGGAAAAGCCCCAGTGACTGTCACTGACCCCTGGGGACAGGTAAGGTGGCAGGTGTGAAGAGGGGCATCCTTCAGCTCCAAGTTCATTCAACTCACTGCCCACCTAACATAGGCTTAGTCCCTAAACTCAAGTAGCCCCCTACTTTCTGGATGTTGGACTTGAACTGAGGAATCCTTTGCAGGACAAAAGTTCTCATGAGAGAAGGAATGTGGGAAAGCAGAAAAACTTGAGAAAATCTGCAGCCCTGAGCTTAAAGGTGCAACATTAACATCTTTGCATGTATATGAGGATGCTATCTCATCTGTGTATCCACAAGAATATGAGGACATACTCATGTTTCCTTTGAAGCAGTTATATATGGAAATATCTTACCAATGGTCTTAGCAGATGTTTCTGTGAAGATTTCTGTGTAGCAAATGATTCGGGGGGCCAGCATTGTGACTCAGGGGGAAAACCAGGCCTGTATTGCCAGCATCCTGCAAAGGATGGTTCGGGTCCCAGTTGCTCCATTTCTATCCAGCTCCAGCTCCAGCTCTGCTACTGAACCTAGGAAAGTAGCACACAATGGCTCAAGTGTTTGGGCCCCTGTACCAAAGTGGGAGGCCCAAGGGAAGCTCCTGGCTCTTAGCCTTGGCCTGCTGGTCAAAGAATCCCTGGTCACTGCAGCCATCTGAGGAGTGAACCAGTGGATGGATAGCTCTCCCTCCTTCTCTCTCTCTTTCTATGTCTTTTCCCCTCTGTAACACTATCAAATACATAAAAATAAATCTTTAAAAAAAATGAATATAAGGAACAATACATTCAAAGTCATGTTACCTAGGAGGACATGTAGTAGATAATTTTTTCCAAAGTTCTTGCAATGAGCAGCATTTAGAAATTTTTAAAAATAACATTTGTCATTGGACTATTATCAGAACCATTTTGCAAGTCTAAAACTTAACAGTCTGCTGTCTTTGATAGACAAAATGAAATGGAGTTTTTTAGAAATTATATTTAGCTATTGTGAGAAGGGAATCTGCGGAGATAAAGGCAGTCCGAGGGACTTAATATGTTCTGATCATAAGGTTGTCAATATTGAGTTAGAGGAATTTACTTGTAAAGTCTTTTGTACAATGCCTAACACACTGAGTACTGGAAAATAAAAGAAACAATAGCAGCTATTTTGGTCTGATTCTGGTTGCTATTATTCCTTTAATTTCAAAATTAAAAGAGGAAGTTCCTGGCTAATTGAAAAAAAAAAAAAAACTTTCCAAACTGTTTTAACCTCTGTTAGAGTGGTTGTACACTGTCAAGTACAAGCGTGTTTCTCAGCAGCATGTGCGAACGGCTTGACTCCAGTTCCAAAGCTGACCTTGTGTTAACCATGCCTGTCTTCCCACTCTAGGGAGAGTGAAATTGTGGAGCTCAAGTCCCAGCTGGCCCGCATGAGAGAGGACTGGATTGAGGAAGAGTGCCACCGGGTGGAGGCCCAGCTGGCACTCAAGGAAGCCAGGAAAGAGATAAAGCAGCTCAAACAGGTTATCGAATCCATGAGGAGCAGCCTGGCTGACAAAGACAAAGGCATTCAGAAGTATTTTATAGATATAAACATCCAGAACAAAAAGTTGGAGTCCCTGCTGCAGAGCCTGGAGATGGCACACAGCGGCTCCCTGAGGGATGATCTGTGTCTAGACTTTCCCTGTGATCCCCTGGACAAGAGCTTACCCCTCAGCGCCCCTTTGGACAAGATGACAGATGGGTCTTCCCCAGATGAGCCACTCACCGAGGAAGGGGCTGACAGTGAGCTGTTGCTGGTGGAAGACAGCATGGCCGATGGCTTGGGGGCCTTCCACGAGATGGGGACAGCCCCCACCACTGAGTCTGGTGACTTGGAGCTTTTTCATGCCACCCGTGAGGACCAGGTGTTTGCCATGCTGCCTGTGGCAGTGGATCAAGAGGAAGCCAGTGTGGTGGTGGTGGAGCAAGCTGTCCAGACCGATGTGGTGCCCTACAGCCCTGCTGTCTCGGAGCTTATTCAGAATGTGCTGAAGCTGCAAGGCCCCTGTCACCCCAGCTCAGCGTCTCCTCCAGAGCCCCGGGCTAACACGATGGAGAGCTTCCCAGAGTCCAACTCAGTCCTGATGCTTGATTTAACCCCAAGAAATCCGAACTCAGCCATCCTTCTGTCTCCCGTGGAGACCCCATACCCCAAGACGGGTCTGGAAGTGCATGCAAACCGCCTCATGAGAGAGCTGGATTTTGCAACCTACACAGAAGAAAGGCTGGATGGGTTCCCCTCACTGTCTCAGAGGGGTGTTGTGGGGCAGTACTGGAGCAGCAATTTTCTGGTGGATCTCCTGGCTGTGGCTGCCCCAGTGGTCCCCACTGTCCTATGGGCATTCAGTACTCAGAGAGGGGGAACAGATCCCATCTACAACATCGGAGCCTTGCTCCGTGGCTGCTGTGTGGTTGCCCTGCATTCACTCCGTCGCACTGCCTTTCACATCAAAACCTAAATAGAAGTGTTGTTATCATGTGCCAATTTGTCTGTGTGGCATCATGCCAGGTAGAGAAACAGCAGGTCGATCTGTGGCAGTCTCTACTTCATTGTTTTGCTCCTCGGTATTTGATTTGCACTATAGTTAGTGGAAGCTTGTTCACTGTTTAAAACCGGAGGTATCTTCTAAGGCATGGAGACTTGGTTCCAGTAAAATGTCCCATCCATGTGGTATAGAGAGCATGCTCGTGCCCCTGCCGTGTCGTCCGAGGTACCCGTTCTTATCCTAGTGGTTCGGGAAGAGAAAATGCAAACTTTGCACTTTGAGGACAGCTTCTCTAAGGCTGGCATGCTATTTCCTTGCTTTGCTTTGTGCCGTTTTAAAATGTGTCATGTTCCAGCCTTCCAATGGTCTTGTGCATAGCAGGGGACTGTAACCAAAAACAAATGTGTATTTGTGAAATTGGTTTAAAGAAGTCTTGAATAGCTCTTTAGTGTCCTACTTGGAATTGATAAGGTTTGAGTGGTTGCATTTTTTTTTTTTTTACTATATGTAGATCCAAAGTCTTCAATGGCCTGTTTGTTTCCTGATGAAATGTAAAATGTACTATGTACTAACTTATTTTTTGCTTATTATATATAGTGTTTTATTGGAGATTGTTTGTAACCCTACACTTCAGCATGATAAAAATAAATATTAGAGTTTCCATTTAAATAAATGTTTTATCCTCCTATAAAATGCCTCTGAGTTTACTTTTTTTTCAGCATTTATTTATTTTTATTGGAAAGGTGGATATACAGAGAGGAGGAGAGACAGAGAGGAAGATCTTCCATCCCGTGGTTCACTCCCCAAGCAGCTGGAAGAGCCAGAGCTGAGCCAAGCCGAAGCCAGGAGCCCAGAGCGTCTTCTGGGTCTCCCACATGGGTGAAGGGTCCCAAAGCTTTGGCCCATACTCAACTGCTTTCCCAGGCCACTAGCAGGGAGCTGGATGGGAAGTGGGGCCGCTGGGATTATAACCGGCACCCATATGGGATCCTGGTACATGCAGGGCAAGGACTTTAGCTGCTAGGCTATTGTGTTGTGGTCTTCCGAGTTTACTTTTATGCATGATGATAGAATTAGAAAGGAGATCTTTCATATTTATCAAGAGGAATTATGAAATGAGAAGATGGAGAAACAGTAAGCTAATGATTTCCTATTCCACCAGTTCTGGATAGATAGCTTTATTTATTAGCTTTTAAATTATCTATACAATTGTTTGTCCACCTTTTTATTCAGTAAGCGAGCTTCAAGGAGGCCAGTAAGGCTACAGCAGAGGTGAGGGTATGGGGCTATTTGGAGAAATACCCAGTTCACATAAAGCTGCAGCAGGAGGCTGACTTTACTCGGTGTAATGGGAAAATATTGGTGGACTAAAGTATACAATGGTACCATGTTTTAACTCTGTGGCCACCAAGTGCAGAATGCCTTGTAGGGCAGGCAGGAGACAAAACAGGAATACCACTTAGGAAACCACAGTAACAGTCCCAGTGAGACAGTCTGAGGGTGAAAGTAGATGTTAAGTTGGATAATTCATGTAGAATATAAAGTTACAAGTCATGTGATTTGGTGACGCATTTGACATGAGGTAGACTCTAAGGAAAACAGAAACTGAGGATCGCGCCTAAAGGTTTTCGTCTTGAATGGTGGTGAAATTTACTGAGAAGGGAAGAATATAGGAGAGACAGGTTTGGCTGGGGATATAAAATCAAGATTTAAAAATTTAAACAAGAAAATACTTGCATATATGAATTTAAAACCACAGGCACTATCAGATCTAGAGTTATAAAACTGGAGTTCTTTGGCATTTATACAGTATTTAAAATTATGGGACCAGGGGAGTCATCCTGGAAGAGCTGGAAAGAAAGCCCAAATTTGAGTCCTGTAGTCTCTTCCACAGTTGGATAGAGGTGAATGATAAGAGGCAGCAGACAGATGCTGCAACCCAAAAAGGCAGGAGAAAAAGGAAGCAAATACAGTATTTTGAAGCCAGAAGAGCAGTGATTCAGAAAGAGTGGAGTGGTCACATGTACTGGACTCCTACCAAGACGTTAAGTAACAAGAGAAGTTACATGTCCACAGGCTTTGACAGCAAGCTCTTACTGACCTAGTCAAGTCATTTCTTGGGAGAAATGGATGAAGCCAGACTTGAGCAGGTTAAATGCAGAGTAAGAGGAACACAGGAAGTAGAAATGTATGCAGCTAATTTTCTCATTTAATGTAAAAAGAAGTGGGTGCGAATTTGAAGAGGTTCTGATGTCAAGGGTCTGGTTTACATTTCAGTATTGTAGAACATGTTTGTAGATTTTTGTAATCAAGATGAAGAGAAAGAATTGATGAGTTAGGAGACCAAAAAAAGTTATCTGAAGAAGGGCATCCTTTCAGAGAGAAGGGATAGGATTCAGGGCTTATCTGGACATACATATGGAGAAGGGTGGCATGTCTATGACAGGGACATTTGTATTTCAGTACACATTTCCTTGGATGTGCGTTGCATTCACATAGCACACATCTCAAAACTCTAGTCAACATTAGAGGGATCTGGCTAACCTGGAAGGGAAATCATTTCTAGGGGTGGACAATTGGAAGTGTCCCAAATTAATGAGCCATCCCTTCCTGTAATCCAGCCCAGACAAGTTTAGATATGAGTATCTTCTTAGAAGTCCCTCTCTGGGTTGTAGTCACTGCTAAATTAAATTTTTTTTTATTTCAAGAAAAAAATCATCAGCCTGTTTTTGGTACCGTCTTGTTGGTACAGAAACAATACAAACATACAAACTCAGTGTTAGTTTTCAATCATTTAAGATGAATGGAAAGCAGGGTCTCTGGTGAGAGAATTTTCCATGGACCACACATATTTATACTACTCCCCGAATCAGAGGCAGTTGACCACCAGAAGAAAATTGCATTGTTGTCTTAATGGCCTATATCCTTCTTTACACAAACAAAACCGCCCAAATAACTTCACTTGAGACGGTAGGCACTGGCTAGTCCATCTACGCTGGGATAAGTCTGACAAAGGTATTTCCTTCCTCCCTTCTCCTTCTTCAGGGTTTCAGCATGTATAGTCTGTGGAAAATCACTGGTAGTTTTCAGAACAAAGTCTCTCACCAAAGAGTCCCTTGGAGTAAATAAAAGATAGAACATGCTTGCCTCTCGGAAGCCCGAGGCGTTGTCTGGTTTGGTGGACAGGATGATCTGATGCCTCAGAGTTGCCTTCAGTCATTTGGATGGCCATGATGACAGACAGGAAAATGGAAAAAAAACAAAACAAAAACAAAAAAACAAAACCAAGAATTCCACTCTTTTGAATAAATTGTTGTTCCATCAAAGCAGATATTCAACATTTCCTAAAGTGATGTGTGCAAACATTCTGATTTATAAGAGAAGATTTTTCCCAAAGGACTAGGTTGACCTTTCCAAGTTGAGCTGTTCAGAAAGAGGGAAAAATGCAAGCACTCAGATGCCAAGCGTTTCTGACATTTGTGACAGAAGAAAAGGAAGCCTGTGACTTGAATTTATCATAGGTTCTGCCTGAACAGTGTTTGGATCTGATGTTTTTTCTTGTGAGTTTTGTATTTTGAAAGGCTCAAGGTAGCTCCCCACTTTCTTTTAGGGTGAGCTTTTACAGAAAATTCATTTATTCCTACAGTATCCAAAAGGTCAGTAACCTAGGAAACTGAAGCTAACAGTTTGTAACAGTCAAATCCTGATTGGACTTCTACACATATAAACTACTAGAACACATGCGCTGCTTTGTGACCACTCATTTTCCCAGAACCTTACTGATTATTACAAGTAGCTACAAATCCAAATTTTAAAACCCCAAAAACGATTAAACACTACTCAGTGAAAAAAGCAAATTATTTCACTAGGATTGGTGTATCTCTTTTGAAAGTATTTTAAACATAAGAAAAAATATAAGCCCCAATACATAAAAAAGTCAGCAATGAAGTTTTTGCAACAGGACACCTGGTCTGCAGCCCTTCTTATCTCCCCCTCATTGCCTGCCACGGTTCTGGTATCACCTCCAAGAACAGCTTGCAAGTCAAAGCACTATATACTATTCCACACCCTCCGCCCCTTGAGCTTAACAGTTCATGCACAGAAACTTTCAGTTGATTGGAATAGCACTCAGTGCTGACAATTCTTTATTGCCTAAACAGCGAATGCTTAACGGAATTTGTTTGCCAGTGTCCTGTTGGTTTAACTGTGTAAAGGATTCATTATCTCTCAGCAAACAGAGGCCGTGGAAGCATCTGGAACTACAGTGATAGAAAATGACAAGGGAAAATCAATAGCCTAGACTGTTGTTATGAATATCAAAGGGTAAGCATCACAGCTACTTTAATTTGATGGTACAGCAAGAATCTCTCTCTGGTTCCTCACAATCAAAAAGAAAAGAAAACAGCTTGCTGAGTTTGAAATGGCTGGCCAGTTTCTCTTCCTCAGTAAACAATAGGTGCTGCTGGCATTTTAAACTGACCTTAAGTTCTCTGAACTAGCGCATTATTTCAGGCTTGTTGGCTATATAGCAAAAATTAAAAATGAAAGTAGTTTTCATCATTTCCACATCTCCCACTGAAGGCAGTACAAGGAAAAAGATCTAAAAAATGAGCATTATGGAGTAGTCCATTAACACACTTTCTAATCAAGATAGATGAAGCAATTAAGAGGTTCAGGCGCACTTCAAAGGCTCACGAAGTAATAAAATCACTTGTATTTTGGTGTTGTGCACATTGTACCACATTTAGTACTGAAATAAAAGTGCTGAGTCAAAATTGTCTCAAAAAATTTATTTCAGAAGTGGTCGTTTGGCCTAGTAGTTAATATACTTGCTTAACATGTTGTTGTCTAGTTGTTATCTCCTGACTTTTAAAAAAGATTTATTTTTATTGGAAAGGCAGATTTACAAAGAAAGAGAAGTGTCTTCCATCTGCTGGTGAACTCCCTAAATGGCCACAACAGCCAAAGCTGAGCCTGTCCCAAGCAGAAACCAGGAGCTTTTACCATGTCTCTCACATGGGTGCCAGGGTCCCAGTGCTTTGGCCCATCCTCTATTGTTTTTCGAGAGCACAAGGATAGAGCTGCAAAGGAAGAGGAGCAAACCAGGACAAAAACCAGCTCCCACATGTGATCCGGGCGTTTGCAAGGTGAGGCGCTTACAGGGCTCCTGTCTCTGGATTCCAGCTTCATACTGGTGCATACTCTACAAGGCTGAAGTGATGGCTCAGGAAAGTGAGTTCCTGCAACCCACGTGAGAAACTTGAGAGCATTCAAGGTTTCCAGCTTTGGCCTCCACCCAATACCAGCTGTTGTGAGCATAAAGGGTGTAATGAAACACATGGAATCTAGATCTATGTCTTTTCTATTTCTCAATTATTTTCTTTAAAAAAAAAATGTAGGTTCAGAGGTTAATATACCTAATGATGTTGTCACATTTTCTCCATAAAAGAGGTAAGCTCTGCTTTTATTCTGGAATAGTAGCAGGTATGGGAACTGCATGAACAGACAAGGATCCAAATTAAAGTTTGCATATTTTAACAAATGAAACCAATTACGGCTAGCAGTATCTCTTATGAGTCAAAATTGACCTGCAAAAAAACGAACAATCCCACTGATTGAGAGTCTGTCCTTTGAATTTTCTACACAAGATTACATTTTCTTCTGAGCCATTGATTCTCTCAACCACAT